GTTAGAATTCAGCAAGTTTGTACTGATCAGATGACTCAGCTTTTAGTAGCTACGTCTGAAGGAAGTGTAAGTTTTAATGGGAAGCCATTCAAAGAACAAAATAGGCAGTTTGCTAAACTTAAAGTGACAAGAATTTTCAATGAAGTCCATACACCAGATGGAGTTTTCAATGTTCAGAGTATCTGCCTGCTGGGGCAAAACACCTACTATGGATATGCTTTTATCAGATAGGGTCTTAACATTTTCATTAGAGTACAATCCTAATAGTTGAGGAAGATTAGCTACGAAAACTAGCTTGTTTTGCTTTTTGGACATTGATGAAATTAAGATACTTAAATAATTATTTTTGCTTTTTGACCTTTAGAGATGATCAAACAAAAGCTGTTTTTTGCAAGACTTTTGGTGCTGAAAGCACAGTATGAAATATCCTTACATATTTATTTCTTCCTATGAACCCACACCTGTCAATTGAATAAACTATCTATTATTTAATGTTTAGCAAACTGGATGTATATAGGTCATTGTGTTAAGTATGATTTTTATAGCTGACATTAGGTGGAAGTTCTGTAAAGAAACCTACTATACCACTTCTCTTACCACCATCTGACACCAGTATATTCCTTGGACATAATTACTTCAGCTCTCTGGAGTAAGATCAGTGAGCAACTAATGAAAGATTCCTTACTAAATGGACAGGATGAGACAGTGACTACACACAGGAGATCAGATTGCACCTATGGGGAATACTGTACCTTGTCTAGATAGCAGGTGAGAATACACCTTTCTTTATCACTGATGTGCCTGAGAAACTCAGGAACGTAATTTTAAAACACAGTTATGTTAATTTTGGCTTATAAGCATTCTTAACTGTGTTCTCACTCTTTCTTATGCAATGGCCGTAATAACTTCAGGTTGTGAGAGCATGTTGTACATCCTAACTGTCTGCCTGATTGCATCATGCACTAGACCTCGGTCCTAAATTCATGCTGAGGTAAGCGTGCGTTTACAAAAGTTCTTCCTTGAGGGATTTAGTGAGAAAGCAGCATGGTGTAATCATTACCTTGCCATTCTCTCATTTCAGTGTCTATATTTGCAAGCTAAGATTATAGCTGAGACAAGCCGAGAAGGTTTATTTCATGTATTTAATGGAAAGGTGATTCAGAGGTGATTTTAATGAGTCATTTGTGTCAAGGCTTCAAATGTCAGGTCCTCCCACAGAAAAAAATCCTAAGTAAGCCATCAGAAAAGGAAGGAGGAAGAGAGCCAAGAAGACTGGCTTTGTCCATCTCTCTGAGTCTGATGCAGCATCTATGCTAGGACTTCCTTTTACAGTGGTTATGGATAAAGTTATAACCACAATAAAGAATGAATAAAATTGCTGGAGCTATGGAAAACAGTATCACCCAATGACTGGAATCAGTGACAGAGGTTACAGTTTCTAAGGGGAAATCTCACTGATATTAAAGGTAGTGAAGTATTAAAGGTCACATCTTGGATAATGGCAAGTATAGGCTCCAGTAGCAACCATTTTATTTGTTAAAGGAAAAAAAGCGAGTATTATTAAAAAGACTATCAGAAAACATTTACTGGCTGTCTCAAAGAATAAATTTAGGGTCTATATACCAAAAAGCACATTCTACAATGCTGAAAAACATCAAAATAATACTTAAGCGTCCAAAATATTTCCCAGTGCCATGATGCTTCTCATCTATTAAGGAATATTAATGAACCTAACACTTTCATCTGGTAATTTATGTAGAAGTATGAGCAGATACTGATCAACAGGATTCTCTTTTTCAGGCAAAAGTGGATATAAATTTGCTCGGAAAGTGTTTATTATATCACACTATTTATATTTAACACAGTATTTTCAGTATTCTCTCTGTTGAGGAAGGAAATTACTGTGATAAATGAAACAACTGACAGTGATAACTGTTCAGTTTGTCATTTATCTGGTTACCGCATGGCAAGACAGCTTCAGTTTGATGTCAGGTGTACCATTTAGAAGAAGGTACTTATCTTTCATTTTACTCTGGTCATCTAATAGTACAGGATCTGATGGCAACACCCTACTGGTAGGCCATCTGCTTGATGTTGAAAACAGTGCAGGAAATGAATTACCAATAGGATAATGGACTGCTGTATATAATTATGGATGTTAACATTCAAAATTGTATTGTTAATCAAAACGGATGCTATCATGAATACACTTAGCTGGGTTTAGGATCGGTCTTAACACTGTAATATATCAAGGACTGGGAAAGACTTAATGAATTTGCATGCAAACATAAGGCAAGCGGTTCTTGATGCAGTTGAAAATTATTCTTATGCCTCAGTTGCCTTCCATTAATTTGTCAATACTCCGAACTTTTTATCCCTATGAGTCTATATAAAAATCAATAGGAATTTTGTCCCTTACAAAACTGAGGATAATCATTCCTTTACATTTTTATATTTACTGCACCAAAATACGTCACTTCGAAATTAACATCTTCACACTTTTTGGAATGAAAAACTTCATTAGTATTTGCTATTTAGCTTCTTACAGGGTCTTGCTGAAGCAATTGCATTTCATCTCACAGCAATACCAGGACAAACTTGAACTGCTCCTTTTAAGTTTTCAGAACTGAAAGGCAAGACTTTGGCTATCATATTTTTGTCCATGTGTAACATACACATTCTTATGCATTACTTGTATCAATGACAATGTATACATCACATCCGAAAGGAAAAGGTAGCCTACTAAGTAGAGACTGAGGACATGTTTTTTTAGTGAATTTATTTTAGAAAGAGAATCATATGAGTGTCTTATGTCTTGCTGCCAAGCATATTAGATATTTACATTTGAATCCAGACGAACCTACAGTACTTAACTGAATTTGGTAGGCACAAGTACAAGAAATCCAATACTGATAATAATTTATGAAGGTAAGAATACTGATTCCTATAATATTGCTAACTTAGTTTATGATAACATAATTAGTTACACTAATAACACTGCTTAGGCACAGTCTTGCTAATTATGATATTATAAATATTAATGATATCAAGCCTTTGTATTTGATTGCCTCTAGTAGAACCACTATATCATGCTATTTCCTTTTACCCATGTTGCACTATTTTTCTCCCTTTTCGCTTTTATGTTCATTCCTGGACACATAGTCATCCTGAGCTTAGGCCTAAAATGTATCACTGCCTTATCAGCGGTGCAGTCTGGTTCACTTTATATTTTATCATCTAGTCGCAACGATCCAATGACATAATTCTGTGTTAAGGGCAATCAAATACACAATCAGTTATATTCTATACGTCTTGTTCCTTTTAAATATCTAACAGAGCCAGCCAGACTAGATTACATAGGGCTTTGTTTTTCATTCTTTTTCATGTGACCTGTTTCAAGTTAAGATTCCTTTGAATTATTAAATGCTTCCTTAAAGCATCTTTTCACACTACCTTTTTAAAGTTAATTATTGATGTACTGACAAGCTGAGAAGACTAAGAATTGTAATTTTTTTTCTCATTCAAAAGGACATGAGAAACATCTTCTGACAATGGTTGTCTGTTTAGTAAAATACAAAGGTAATACAAAGATCGAACACTGGATGCAGCTTTGAAGAATTGCAAAAAATCTGTTACATGAGCTGTAAATGCTGTGTTTATTTCTACAGGTGCTAAAGAAAGGAAGTTCGGATATAACTCTTTGAGCCTGGTTTAACTGCTTAACATAAGTCGATGAAAATGAAACCGGTTATATCTTATTTTTAAGCAGTGTATTATTCAGAGCTTTAGGAATGGGATTGTCTTTTCACCTGGAAGATAACAGTATAATTTTCAGAGCTCCATAGAGAACAACAACAATACCAGAGTCTCTAATCTCCTACTAAACCCAACTCCAGTCATCAGCAATAACAACCAGAGATTTGGTGGCGTCTGACACTCCAAATCCTATTCTTTTGTAATTCTTTACTTCTTACAACATTTTCAACAGTGTTATATCAGATTTTTAGAAGGATAATCAATAGGTATGATGTATAAGTGAAATCAGTCTTCAAAGTGATCCCCTCTAGTAACTAGAAACAAAAGCTCAGAATCCCTGCTGTGCAGATATTTTGCTAAGAGCAGGAGGCAGCAGGGCATCAGTAGGAAGCCTGCTACACCTCCCTGCTCCTTGGCGTGGATCAGCAGGTACCCTGGTGCAAGGATGAACAGTACTGGGGCTGCTGGCATCTACTGCATCTGACAAAAATCTCCCAAAGAGTTTGCGTGGCAGAGAACTACTGGAGCAGAGAGGACAGATGGCGCAGAGTTTATGGTTTTAGAGAGACCAATGTTTACATTCCTATTCCGCTACAGGCTTCCTAGATTTAAATAAGCTTGTGGAATATATCAAATTATTCAGTGTTACTGTTCCTCATCAGGAACATCCCTGCTTTGCAGAGAGTTTGGGAGTCAACGCATATGAAAGACCATGAGATGCTCGGACGTGATGATCGTAAGACCACTCCTACCTGATCTAGTGTTCCAACTAACAGCTCACCTGTGCCAGAAGCTGTCTCAGCTGGTCAGATCCAGAGCTGAGAGGCTTTTATATTTCCAGAATGTTGCATCATGGCTAAAACATCCTGGGGCCTCTGGCACAATGCTATTATCAATCTGAATCAAGTCAAGTCCCATTAAAACAAACAATACCAGAACTTGTTCCAGTGCATTTCTAATTTTACATACTGCATTCTTTTTAAAGACATGCCATTACAAAAAAAGTGGAGAGCTCATATTTATAATACAAAGGTAACGCGATATCAAGCAATTGTTAGTATGTCTTCTTAAGATGCCCTCAGGTACTTGTTAATACCCAGAAGGAAAAGAGACTTGGTGACTAATTTTGATAACTGCAGTGCTTAACTAAGGTAATCAGGAGAAACTGCATATGACAGTTATGGATTTACAATCAAAGCCAAGACAAAGAGTCATTATGCAGGGATGGCAACGAAACAACATACCTTTCCCATCAGCTCAGCAATTCTAGGTACTGGTTTTCCTTTCTGATGGCGCATGGTAGCAGGACTCTGTCCATTCCAGTCTTCAAGTTCCTCAATACTTTTGAGGTAAAGGAGGGCTCTCAGTCCAGTGCAGTAGTCATCAATAACAGTGAAATCTTGATTCTGGATTGCACTACACACCTATAAAATTAAGTCCAATTATCAGCAACATTCTGGCAGAGGAGCACATGGAGTTAGCAAGCTCTTTAGGCTTAATGATGTCCAGCTGAACTTTCCTGCAACTTTATTAGGAAAGAACTACAAGAATTCAGGATGCTAATTGGCTGCTTGATCCTGTGTCATGATAGCACCCAGTGTAGTTCAGGAAAATAAGGACTTAATAATAGCAGTTACGCCTAGGCTTCCTAATCATGGCCCTTAGACCAGACTTGAAGCCCATACAAAAGAAAGCGTGCAACCTCAGCCTCAAGCGTGACAAATCATTGTGTACCTTCCAGGAGCCAGGTGCCGAGTATAACTAGCAGGCTGGCAAACCACCAGGCATCCTCAGACAATTGCCTTCATGCAGACACTTAGTGTTCCCAAGCCTGCTCTGTTAGGGAGGCATTGGTATATCCAGGTAGGCCCCAGTCAAGCAAATCACAGAATAGTTGAGGTTGGAAGGGACCTCTGGAGATCATCTCGTCCAACCCCCCTGCTCCAGCAGGGTCAGCTACAGCAGATTGCCCAGGATCATATCCAGTTGGGTTCTGAGTATCTCCAAAGATGGAGACTTCACAAACTCTCTAGGCAACCTGTTCCAGTGTTCACCCTTACACAAAAAAATTTTTTTTTTCTTAGCTTTAAATGGGATTTCTTGTATTTCAAGTTTTGCCCATTGTCTCCTGCCCTGTCACTGGATACCATTGAGAAGAGTTTGGCTCTGATGAAAGTGTCTCAGCAAACAGCACCCACTAAATTGACCGTTTTGTATGGGTGAGCACTGTCATGCACAGAACAGAATGATCCTCTCTTAGCAACTGCCATCTGTTTTTCAGTGATATTAAGAGGCCAGGCCACTTTGTTTTAGGTACTTTATGAATGCAGAAAGCAGTATAGCTTTATAAACACATACAGCAATGATCCCTGCTTTGCAGAGCTTACCATGTAGGCATAGAACTACTGACAGCAGAGACTGTCCTAGCCACTAATACTGATTTTGCTAGACCACCCTTGTGGACATCAACCTGAATTTAAACCCACACAGATCCCCA